CTGCTGACAGGCGGCACAACAGTTTGACGAAACTGTGCTGGCTGTAGGATTATGCTTACTTCATTATTATTCTCACTGTTGCTGGTTTTGTTCACTTACGAAGTCTTATGGATCAGGATCATGAACTTTCTGGGCAGGAGTGTCCTGTGACTGATGGTTTTGCATTCTTAACTCTGCTATAAAGTATAGTGGGATTTTGGGAGCGGGACCTCTGTTTCATGCTGTTACGCAAAATCCCAGAATCCCAGAATGGCAGGGGGTGGAAGGGCCCTCTGGAGATCACCCAGTCCAACCCCCCTCAAGCAGGCTCACCCAGAGCAGGGGGCACAGGACATCATCCAGGTGGGGGTTGAATATCTCCAGAGAAGGAGACTCCACAGCCCCCCTGGGCAGCCTGTGGCAGGGCTCAGTCACCCCCAAAGTCAAGAAGTTCTTCCTCACGTTCAACTGGAACCTCTTCTGCTTCAGTTTGTGCCCATTGCCCCTTGTCCTGGCACTGGGCACCACTGAGAAGAGTCTGGCTCTGTCCTCGTGACACCCACCCTTCAGATATTTGTACGTGTTGATGAGATCCCCTCTCAGTCACAAGTGAGTTGAGTCCTATAACTGAGGATAGTAGGAAGTTAGTGATAACTGGCAGTGTTTTTGAGACACCAATCATTTTTCTGAAGTTACGAACTGTTACTTAACTCTGGTTTTAAACCCTACCCTGCTGAAGTCAACAGGAGTTTTACCACTGACATTATTTTGTTTTGGATGGAAACTCTCGAGGGCCTGTGCTGTTGCTGCGCAAGCACAGCAATAGCATGTGCTTCTACAGAACGACTCCAAAGTCCATCTTCATTATGTCTTTGATAGAACTTCTGCTGGTATTTAATTTGTTTGTAGAACATGACACAAGATCTTATCTGTATTGCTACAACACTAGAATTTTAAGTTTTCCGGTATGTAACTTATCATTTACGTGCCACTGATTTGTGAAACAGAACACAACGAAACAAGCAGTCCCTTGTGTGTAAATGCAAGCAAGCAAGAATGATTTTGGATTATGCATAATATTTTTTCCTGGTCATGTTTTATTTTTGGTTCAGCTTAGTTCAAGTCACTGTAATTAAAGGATTAATGCGGTGGGCTCCATACAGCGAGGCAGAATGTCTGGACTCTCTCTAAACTGACTTTTAAGGAGCTGGCCTAGCGGTCAGCATCGCAAGAACATGATGTCTGCTGAATAGAACAGACGCGTTTGAATTCTGCCTCATTTTTCGCTCTTTTACCTAGGAAAAAAAATGTTTCAGCAGATAACACACAAAACGATCTGCCCGATGTGCAGTTGTTTAGGTTTTTTGTGTATGTGCTTTTTCTTATTTATTTTCAGTCTACTACGCGCATGATAAACTGGATGATTTCATCAGTACTATTAACAGCCATCTACAGCCTTTGTTTATGCAGATCCGGAAAGGAATGTCGGAAGGTGATGGGAGAGCACATTATGCTTTGGTAAGTACGTGGTGTGCTGCCATCGCGTGGTTTGGCTTCTCGTGGCTAGTGCATGGATAGCAGAGGGAGCCTCCCGCATCTCCAGCTTAGAATCAAGCTTTGAATAATGTGACAATAAAAGGTCTGCATGCTTTCCGATTGTAAATTGGCAAAAAAACCTAGCTGTACCTGTAATAAACATAAGGCTACCCTAAGCACCTTTGTTGGATGATAGAAAGTTGGTGTAACCTAGCATCCTTCTCCTGCACTATTTCTGTAGTACAACTGCTATTTAGAGAAAGCAGAGAATCTGGAACTGAAGGCTGCACGTGCCGGCGGGCATCTTGCTTGTGGCAGCGTCTTGTGTGGTTTATGCAGGGCTGTTCCGCTGTTGGCCTGGCAGCTGCTGCAGGAGCTACTGGTGGAACAGGGAAGTGCCAACAGCCCGGGTGCATGGAAATGGAACGCAGCAGCGAGGACTGCAGCAGCATCTGACTTATGTAGCATAAATACTGCTTAAGTGCTGAAGAGGGATTTCTTTTTCACAGGAGACTTTCTTTCTCAAGAGGAATCTTTAAACTAGAAAACATGGCGAGCCCTCTGACTTTAGTTTTCTCTTACTCAAGAACCAACCCAGCATAAAAGGGTTCCTAAGGAGTGGCCTATGAAACGTTTTCCTAGATGCTGTGAAATGTGCATGTCAGAGAAAGAAGGCTGTATAGTAATTGCAAAAGACCATGCAGGAGGTATTCTAACGTCAGCTGCTGCTTTTAACCTTGCTGGACCATTTTGCCAGTGAAGTTGAGCTAATAATGAATAGCAGTAGTGCGTGCAGCAAGAATATGAAATATCAGTAACTGTTTTTCACAGTGAAACAAAACTGCGTATTTTAACATAGTTACTGCTACTGTCCAGCACAGAATCCTGGTGTAATAGATCAGTTCTGCTATATAGAACTAATGTATGAGTCTGTGGGGGGAGATGGGATTGTTCAAGAGCTTGGGCTGGGTGGAAGCAGCTGCGTAGGACAAGGGGCTGGAAGATTGGGGGTTGTAAAGGAAGGGCTCGGGTGCCATCGAGCGCCATCTTAAAAGGAACAGCCTCTTTTATCCCACTTCAAGAAATGACATTTTGACATTTCTGTTAATTGTAAGATGGAAGTATTCTTTACCCCAGAGAATCTTTTACAATTTACGGTGTAGAAATACAAAGACACTTTGATTTCACTTGAAGTATTATTTTTTTTTTGTAGGTGAATTTGGCAGAAACTGAAATAACTAAAATGGCATCTGACTATACAGAAAATGAATTAGAATTGTTCAGGAAAACAGTAAGTATATCAGTTATTCGTTAGTAAATCACATTATTTGTGAAGGTGCCATCTTAAAATGAATGGAAATGTATGGAGATGAGGTTCAGGAACTAGCTGCTGTCTTACCCAAGTTTATCCCAAATCAAATGAGGGGTGGGGATGGGAGCAACAGGCAAGTGAAAGTCAGTTATCGGTAAACTGAAGTCAGCAGTAGGGGAGCGCTCTTGGGAGTTAGTGATGTGACAGATCTGCTTTGAGTTAAACAAACAACTTTCTTTAGGGTTTGCAGTTGTAATTGCTGAATTTTTCACTGGCTTCAGTAGTCTAGCAATATACAGTAGATCTTAACGCTAATAACACACAAGTTGGATTTGCTTTTGAATAGGAATATTTGTCTATTGTTACTGCTTAGCCAATTAATTCTGTGTTTAATAAACGAGTGAGAATGCTGCCTTTTAAACAAGAAAACACACGCTTGAGAATTTTTTAAAGTTCCAAACAGAACCATTGGGCTGAGATTCCAGGACATTTGAGGTCTCATTTCTTATTAACAACCATTATTGTGAGCTGTGATCGTAGCTATGTATCTTGCATATTTTAGTGAATTGTTCTCATAGTGTCTTGAACTTTGAGGACTTAATTTCTCCATCCACTAGGCTTCTTAAATTCTTTTTTTGCACACTCATTAAAATAAAGTTTTCTATACAAACTGAAAGGAGAGGTGCATTGACTGTTCTGTGACAGCTGCAAAAGTCTAATCTGGACAGAGATCTCTATCCGGAGGTTTCCCTGCCCTCCCCCATTACTGGTGCAGCACCAGTACAGCCATGGCAGCCCTGCAGAGGCGGCGTCCTCATGGCATGTATTCCTAGCGGGATAAAAACGCTGCATGCTGCGCTGTGCTAATGAGCGGCAGGAATGTTTCCAGAGATTCTCTGAAGAATCGCAGTACTGCTCCAACCTTTGAATGCCGGGTAGGTTCAGTGCTACTGGTGACTCCAGAGCAGACAAGCTTACTTTAGTAGTGAGAGATTTTTCCTCAAGAACCCTGACAAGGAGCAGATAAAAAGAAGCAGATCTGTCGCCCCAAATACACTCAGGGTCCCTGACTGCAGCTTCCTGTAGGCAGCACTGTACAGTTCCATTTGTGGAAATGTTTTCTTGGCAAAGATTACAACTGTCAAGGTACCAAGGATTATTCAGCTTTTGACCTTTGTTTTACAGTTCGGGTTCAAGCCATATGCTGTAGTATATCCCATATGTATGGATGCTAATAAAGCTGCACATTACTGTAAGGTGTGTCTGTCTAATTGCATGGGTTTTTAAAAGTTGAAAATGTTTCTTTCTGTAGATGGACCTAATCATTTTATCAGAAAACGGCTTTGCCTCTTCTACAGATATTTTAAACTTGGCTGATCAACTTAAAACAAAGAAAATGAAGAAAAAGGAAGCAGAACAAGTGCTGAAAGTCTTTGTGGAGGATAAGTGGCTCTCTGAGGTAACTGTTGTATCTTTTCAAGCATTTTTATTTTAATAGGTCCAGCTATTATTTTCTCATGGATGTGATGGCTGAAACTGGAGCTGTTCTTTAACGAAATTATGGCAAAATGGTTTTGTGGGGCTAAAAAAATGCTGCAGTGATTTTGGCAGGAAAGGTACATTTACAGGGAAAACATCCTTGGATAAGTCTATACAGGACAACATAGTTTCAGTTTCTTGTACCTGAGCTAGGTGGGCATGTGTGTACAACCCTGCATGGCAATGACATCCTTCGCACCTGCAGCACGGCATACTTGGACGTGGAACAAAAGTGGGGGAAAGCTCTGCAGGGTGATCAGTGCTGTCAGTTACATTTAGAATATCCTGAAAAGCAGTGAGGCTGCACACACTGAAAACTCCCGTACCAGAAATGCACAGGTTGCTGTGTGCATTTCTAAATCTCCTTTGTGATGGAGAAACTGAGATTATCTTACCATGTGGACATGGCAGTTGCTTGCCAAGACAAGTGAGACCTCAATCCCTTTTCTCCTGGATTCATTGCATCATAGATCTCCAACCTGCTGCCACACTTACTTACGTTAGAGTGATTTAGCAGAGATTTTCAAAGAAACCTCAAGCAGTAAATGCCTAGATTTTGCTGAAAGTCAGTAGAATTTCTGCTAATGCACAAATGGAGGGTCCCAAAACTGCACGTCTTTGCTAAGGAGAGCATCTTTGCTGATCTGTACCTTCCAAGGACTAGATCTCTGTTAAAGCTGTGAGACCTTTTCTCTGATCCTCTAAACAAATTAATTCTGCTACTTCAAAAGTATTTTGGCTTTGCATTTTATCAGTGTCAGCATGTTAGTTTTGTGATGGCAAAAAAAAAAGTGGATGTCACATGCTTGTGGTGGTTAGGAAAGTCAAAAAAGGTAAAAGAAATGAAAAGAAATTCCTTGTCTTGCCACTTGTTTCCTTAGAGAAATGGAGAATATACTCTGCATACTCGCTGCATAATTGAGATGGAACAATACATTCTCAGCAACTACCAAGATGTGGCAAGGAAGTGTAACATCTGCCACAGCCTCGCCATCCAGGTAACATTTGTTTTATCACCTCAGTAGGCATCTGCTGATGTACTTACGTGGTCATAGCTGAAGGTTGTGATGCTTGTCCTTCGAGAAAAATTCCGGTCTTGCAGTCTGGTAATGGGGCCCATATAAAGAAAATACCTTTTTTTTTTTTTTTTTTTTTTTTTTTTAAATGTAGGTAGTTTATCTTCTGTTTTTGGAAAAAAAACCTTGTCTTGGAGCAGTATCTCCAAGTATAAACTTGGAGAAAGCAAAGTCACCTCACTTTGGAAAAAAAACCTTGCCTTGGAGCAAGTATAAACTTGGAGAAAGCAAAGTCACCTAATGAGGAACATTATTGTCCTGTCTTCCTTCGCAAAGCCAGCTGGCTAGAGAGGAACCCCTTGCCCTTAAATAGGCGTATCAGTTAAGCGTGAGCTGTCTTATCTTTGGACCTTACAAATAGCAGTTGTCATGTGAGATGCGTTCATCTGTGGTCCTGGGCTTTTGGTTCAGGAATTGCTCATGTCTTGGACTGCAGATCGAATGTGTATGCTTATAGACAGCACGTTTAGTTTAGTCTTGCGTATTCCAGAACTTCTGCATTCTCTTGCTCCTGGACCCTGCATCTTCCCACCTTCCCAACCAACATCCTTCCATGTTACTTTTTCCATCCCCATTGATCTCCTTTATTGCACCCAAATAGCTCAGCGTTGTTTGTCTTTCAAGGTAAATTTTGTCCATATAGGGAAATGGTATTTCCTAGTTTCCAGGAAAATACCTCCTTTTGTTGTTTACCAGCTTTGACTTTTGAGTACCCACCGACTGTACTGCGTGAACCATTCTCTGGAATAAAGCACTGCTTATCTGCCACCCTTTGTAACAGCTTTATGTTAAACTGAAGGACAGGTTAATTTTTTTTTTTATCAACACTTCTGATTTCAGAGCCAAGTATGTGAATCCTGTGGAATTGGAATGCATTTACCTTGTGTCAGAAAGTACTTCAGAGCTCAGACTGAACCACGCTGTCCGCAGTGTAATGATTTCTGGTCTTGTGACATTCCAGGTACTGAGCAACCTATTTTAAAAAAATTTGAGTGTAACAATACTAGAGAATGGACTCTGCCATTCTGCGGCACAGCCTGTATTATTTATAACTGTAGCTGAATATCAGCTACTTCTGACTTCAGTTGTATGTTTCAGACAGTAACCATACAGGGGCAACACTGAGCCCTGGATGTGCCGGGGCTGCCCTGTGGGCACCAGCAGAACCTGTGCACGTTGTTTCTAACAACACTGAAGTGTGGAGAGGAGGGAAGGGGAGTAGGGGACAGACACAACACGACACTAAAACTTCTGGAAACACTCAGCTTCTAAGAAGTGTGCAATCTCTTTAGAATTCCTCTATTTAGCCAGGGAATTGGTTATTCTGAACAGGAACACAGGAAAGTTGCATGGCAGAAAAAGACCTGGGGGTACTGGTTGACAGCTGGCTGAATATGAGCCAGCAGTGTGCCCAGGTGGCCAGGAAGGCCAACAGCACCCTGGCTTGTATCAGCAACACTGTGGCCAGTGGGAGCAGGGCAGTGACCGTGCCCCTGTCCTGGGGCACTGGTGAGGCCGCCCCTTGAATGCTGGGTTCAGGGTTGGGCCCCTCACTCCCAGAAGGACATGGAAGGGCTGGAGTGTGTCCAGAGAAGGGCAAGGAAGCTGGGGAGGGGTCTGGAGGCCAAGGCTGCTGGGGAGCGTCTGGGGGAGCTGGGCGTGTTGAGCCTGGAGGAGGCTGAGGGGAGCCCTTATCACCCTCTACAACTGCCTGAAAGGAGGCTGTAGTGAGGTGGGGGTCGGCCTCTTCTCCTTTGTAATGGGTGATAGAACGAGGGGAAATGGTCTGAAGTTGCGCCAGGGCAGGTTTAGGTTGGACATTGGGAAAAATTTCTTCCCCGCAAGGGCTGTCAAGCCCTGGGAGGGGCTGCCCAGGGAAGGGGTCGAGTCCCCATCCCTGGGGGGGATTAAAAGCCGGGAGGTTTAGTGGTGGGATGGCAGGGTCAGGGGAATGGTTGGACTTGATGATCTTAAAGGGCTTTTCCAACCTAAGCCGTTCTGTGATTCTATGAATATATAAAGCATTTTAAAATCTGGAGGTTGTATAGTAATATCCCTTTTTCGTGTGTCATTCCTTGACCTTCCTTTTGTTTTCTTTACAGCTACGAGTCAGATAGACTCCCAGTCACCACCAAAAACAGGGAGAGCAGAGAAGAGCTTCGTTCTCAGCACTAGGCGATGCTAGTGAAACTTGCTTTCAGGGAAATCCTTTTTCCCCACTCTTGCAGAACAGCCAGGCTGTGCTGTATTCATTAGTAACAGTGCATTGTTCTGTCTACTTAGTTTTTCCTGAAGAATCTTACAATAAAACTATCATTCACCTTCCTGTTCTCCTCCATGGTGACACCCACACAGCTTTCTTGGAGGCTGTTTTGTGTATGTAGTTCTCCATATTCTCGGGTTGGGATTCTCAGTGCGTGTCTGGGAATGGAAGATGCAAAATGCTTTTAGTCAGTCCTGCACGCTCATCCATGTGGGTGAACTCTAAGAAGCCTTTCCCAGCAACAGTGTTCCCTCTTTGTACAGTTTCAGTTGCACAACTGAAAACAAAACACGTTACTAGCACCACGAGGCTTCAAGAAGGTGAACCACCAATGCAGCGCTTGTGGCCTCCTCCCTAAAGGCTGGCGGACTATCTGCTCGAGGGCTGGAGTTTGAACACTTTCGCTTGGCACTGTTGCTTGGGTTTTGTCCCTTCTTTAGACACAGAAGAAGTTTGTCTGATGTAAGGCCAGGTCATGAGCGGCCTTGCTCAGTGAGCGAGAGAATATTCCCACAGTCAAAACAATTAGGAAGAAGCAGGACAAGACTTTTGGGGCAATGTCTGCAAAGTGTCAAAAAAATGATCATCGTAAGATTCTTCTAGTTTTTAGTATTGGCACCTCACCCCCCCTGTTTTATGTAAGGATGTGACTTTAAGAGCAACTTGAAAAAAAGACAAGGACTAGATCTTGCCAGGTACCAGAACAGAATGGCAGCCTGTCTTTCCTTGGTAGAAATGCATGATGCTGCCCAAGGCAGCATGTCAGCAGTTCAGCTGATGGTTAATCAAAGTATTATTAAGCTTCAGTTTATTTAACTGCAGTTAAACTATGGATTAACTACAATTAATTACACTCCTAGGCCTCTACACTAGTAACTTTTTCTGTATTGGGGATTGCCATCTTACTTTGTGTTAGCTTTTTTTAAAATATATTCAACCTTTAGGTAGCACCATCCCACACTGTTTATCTAACTCCCAGTTTTACTGTTACTAAATCCAAGTAGAAGATCACACCAACCTGAGGTTCCAAATACAGCTGGAAGCAGCTCTACATATGGGCACTGCCAGGACTCTGCTTCAGATGTCCACATGTGCACAAGACAATGACCTGACAGATGCTCTTCAGGAGTTTGTATTGGAAACATCCACAAAATGGCTGTAGCATCTTCTCTCCATTTACCCGTCCAGATTCTTTCGCCCCGCTGAAGCAAGAATTTGTTCGTTATTTGTGGGGGTTTTTTTAATCCACCTCTAAGCTCTGGATAAGGAAGAACATTCTCATGCTTAAGAACAACTCTCTGGTGAGAAGATGCCAGATGCTACTTTTTCTGATTTTTAATTCCTATTACAACGCTAACAGGCTTCTTGCGTGCCTCAGAGCTACGACCACCAGAAACTGACAGAGAAGCTGATATCAAGTGATCGTACATAGTGCCAATATTTAACTGGAATAAACAGAACCTGTCCAGGCAGGAGAACACAGGACTGAAACGCAGCCTTTCTGAAATTGGGAAACTTAATTAAGTCGGGATCTTCTGCATCGACCTATAAAAAACCCAAAACAATCATCAGCAGAATGTCTTTGCTCAAATACAATTTGATAAAGGAACATTACTGATGTTAAAATTTCAGGCAAATATTTACCTGACTAGTGTTGTGAAGAATCTGGCTTTCATGGGGGTACAGGTTTTCTGAGTCCTGTGGTGCACACAGACGGATATACTTTCTTCCAAATACCTGTATATGTTACAACAACTGTTTTCCATCTGTCATTAACCTGCACAGCCATAGCTGGCATTTAACAGTAAAACAGACCAGATTACAAGAAACATCATTATATTTGTTAGTAACAAACAGACACTGCTATAATAAAAAGTTAAATCAGACTATTGGAATTCAAGTGCCTGTTCCCTTGGAGCAGGTAAGAATTTGAAATCGCAGGAAATGCCTTTAACCAAATTCAAAGTTTAAGGCACCCAATTTATACGATGTTATTTGGGCTCTACATAGCTAGAAAGTAATTACAAGAACTGAGAACAAGGAGGGTGAAGCTTCTGTGCAGTTTGCATTGGCAGGCAGTGGCACCTGGACAGAGTGGCTGCTAAGCCTCCGTGTGCTCCTCCAGCTCCTATTTCTGTGCCATCATTAAACCCATCCTTTCATTGGAGAGAGATGACCAGTCACAAGGTGGCCTGACCAACCTGAACACTACACTGAACTGCAAGGCACCTGCTGCCTGGGATGAAGCGGCAGAACAAATGAGTCAAAGCCGATTCCTGTGCTCATACCAGTGGGATGCCCGCAGAATGCACAGGGTGAATAGCACGCCGCTCGTGCCAGGATCCAGGATTTCCTCAAGGGCCAGGCATGGTCACATTTGTTTGGAACTGTCACATTAAAGGGTTAGTCCGTACTCTGACTAACTACAGTACCCTGGCCTGGCGTTATGCTAACTACTGCTAACCAAGCTGTTTTTCATCATTAACATCCCTTCCCATAGAAGAGAACAGGATTTTCTGAAATCCTGCCAACACCCAAGTTGTAATGGTGGATATTTAGAGTTTGTTGCTTCGAGGACAGCACATAAACATATTCTAAAGGTGAGACAAGTATCAACATATTGCTGCCCCGTCCTACTCTTCTTCACCGTCACTGGTTAAACCACTAGAGCACTGATCTGAGTAACTATGGCTGCCCACATGTTTTTAGGATGCCTTCCACACCCCAAATTAAGGACATTAGTTAGCTCTCTAAAGAACCAAGTGTTAAGTGATACTTTTGGTGATGTATGGAGATAAAGAAAATGCTGCTATAGCTCCAAGAGCACATTTTCTGAATCCCTGAATTGCTTTGGGGGGTGGGCGCTGCCTGGACTGCCGTGAGCTCCAACAGCTCCTTCCTCCACTTGCCTCACTGGGTTAAGGCCGTGTACATTGCCAGGCTGAACGCATAAGTTATGGGCAACAGCCTGCATCCCCAGATACTGGTCTCCTCACGAATGGAAATACTGCAAACTCTGCAGCAGCTACCACCCAGCCAGAAGGGATCATTCCACTTTGTTACTGGCACTTGGGCCTTCCTGTACTCCATAGCCAGTTGAAATGGCATCAAGAGGTGGGGCCATTGTAATTGAAAATTGAAAACTGCCAGATCACCTGCTGTTCCAATTACAACGGCAGCACTTTTATAGCACTGGCAGACAGCCTCCCATTCTTCAGGCAGAACAATCCAAGTTCTGAAGTTTAAGGTATCTTTTCCCAGTCCAACAACTCCCATAATGGACTTCCACTCAAAAAAATTCCCCTCAAGCTTTACATAGTGTGTATAGTACGATACTTCCCTTTCAGAATGCAGTCGTGTGTGTGTGTGTCTGTGTGTGTCAGGTGCGTTAGCGGGGAAGAGAAGTACAATGCATAGATAATTGCACAGCAGTTGTAAAAACCCACTTTAGGAAGGCCTGAATTAAGGCTCAGTTTCAAGTGGAAATGGAGGTTAGCAAGATGCAACTGCTTAGGACAGAGGAACTAAGGCTCAACCCATAGATAAGCTCAAGTAGAAAATATTCAATGTCATGATTCTGCTGGAAAATGTCTAAAAATGTAAGCCGTATTTTTTTTTTTGAAGAGTCTGAAGGGATGGAAGAAGAAACAATAATCTCCTTCCAGTAAGCAAAAAACCCCTCCGTGTTTGAAGATGTCCAGTTGTCAGCTGCTTGGACCAGAAATACGTCCCTGGACTCATACAGTGCTTACCACAAAGGGCCCCAGTATTTTACAGCATTACTCTGCACTGCAAGTCATCGTCAAGAAGCCTACCCACAGTAACTCAGCAGCAATGAGGTCACAGGGCAAATGTTACTTCATCTGACTCTCAATGTGTGCATGAGTAGGTATTTTACGGGGTAACCTGAAGTGGATTAAAGTATGCACCTAAGTCCACTCTGAAATCTTGCTGTTCCAGAAAAGGAAGTTCCTTGGTACAAAGCATCCAGGATCTTCCCAACTCTGTTACAGATTCCATGACCTTGGAAAAACTGCTTTTTGCAATTTCCATTTATCATCTGTACAATACGGTAAGTAACTGCCCAACTGTAGGAGGAGCCCTTGTGGCCTGCGAGATTACCCTGAGTGTTAAGTTGCAGTAGCGACAAATGCAATAGAATAGCAAAATAACATCTGCATATTCTCTGGCAAGGCGTCTGCTACACTCATTTTTTCTAGCTATAGCATTAACGGCACGTGTAGAGTAAGTAGAGTACAGACCTGGGCTAAAAAATTTTGCTGAGGATCCTGATGAAGAGGCGAGATCGTGCCTTCTGGACCAAACCAAGCATTAATGGTGATGTTGTCTTCTTCCCCTTCCCCCAGGCAGCAGTAGTCGGGGATACTGATATCCTCTTTCAATTCTGGGATCTACTCCCATAAAGAAAGAAACATTAGAAAGGGCAAGCACTGACTTGCCAAAGGTGTGTCATTCACAGAAGAGAGGAACAAGGCTTGGCACAAAGAAAACAAATGACCTGCTTGTCCAGCAAAGGCAGGAGAGAAGCAGCTGAACTGCTAGGAACCTGCAGGAAACGGGCTCACACGTTCTGTCCTAGCAAGCAGATTCTCTTGGAAGGAGCGGTAGAAGAAAGAAAGGGGTTTCTCATCCCTTAGAGACCCCATGCTTTAGCAGAAACCAGAGAAACCTACAAAAATACATAGGTTTGCTGTTCATGGAAGCAGCTGATCTTTTATACACTAAGCTTGCTTCTCTGCACGATTCCTTTTTACGTCTCCCACCACCCTAATCCCTGGCTAACTGGAATGACACTTCAGAGTATGGTGAACATCTCACCACTGAAGACTGTTCATTGTCCAAATCTCTTCCCTGACTTACACGTTCTTTGTGGAAATGCTGCTCTCCAGATGACACCCCTATAAGTAGATGCTACGTTGTACCAAAACAGCACTAAAATTGAAGGT